CTCATTTTTTCTCAATAGAAATGACAGGAAGAGTAATTCATAATTGTTATGGTTCTTCCTTTTGTTGCTTTTATATTATAAATTTCAAATCACACAGTCCATACCCAAAAGAAGAAAGTAAATAAAACCGTAATAATATCGACAAGTTTGTCTATTATCTTGTATGTGTAATATACAGGGTGTTGGGCTACTCGTGTTACAAACTTTGCCCGTAGATTCTATAATCAAAATGGAGCCAAAAAGTCCTAATTAATTATGAAATTCAATATTCAAAATTAAAAAACGTTTAATAAATTTATTCAAAATTCCCTTAGGTTTTTTGTTATTATTAATATTTTCGTCTTACCAATCCTTCAACCACGGTTTTTTCTTTTCCTACATCACTTTCTTCATCTTTGAAAAAGTAATTAAAAAAGCACGTTTTCTAAAATTTGCTGGTCTCTAGGTTTGGAAATGGTAGGTTGGAATCACCATATTAAGTTTTTCAACTTTGAAAAAAAAAAAATTCAAAGATCTCGCTACTAGAACGCTTATTTTCCGAATGTTTACAAGTTTAGTATTGATCACATCTTATTGGAAATTAAACGTAGTTTTCAATTTATCAATGGATTTGTCGAAAACCTTTCAGTTATCATTGTTTATTTGAAGAAGGTCGTGAAATCTTAAATAATCAGAAAAAGTGAAATAACTACGAAAGTGTGAAGATTTGGATCCTAGTTAATCAGGACTTTTTGGTTCCTTTTTGAATGTAGAATCTACTGCCAAAGTTTGTAACACGATAGCCAAACGCCCTGTATATTCAGGAAGATCACACCTTGGCATTTTATGAGAAGTATGTTGTTTTATGGAAACAAAATTTTTCATTGATAGCAATTCCCACAAAATAAAACTCAATATGCGTGGCTTGTTGTTAAATGAGGGAGAGATAGAGTAAGAGAGAGAGAAAAAAAAGAAAGAAAGAAAGAGAGGGAGAGAGAGAGAGAGAGATTTAGGTACTATTACATATACGTAGAGGTTGATGATACAGTATTTAAAGTATTTTCAGGATTATGATTTTACGCAGTGGCTATGAGGCATGGATCAAAGTGAAATGTTGAAATAGGTAGTATCTTAACATTTCAGTTTTCTAAATAAATTAATTTAAACAAACAATTAAAATAACTTCTACCTAATACCTTCTACCTAATAATAATTATAACAATTAAATATTAATAATAAGACTATTAATAGATAAGTAGATAAACAAAAATAATGAGAAGAAATAGCGCAAGCCACGCAATGTTTTGAAAGCTCAATTTTTAACCCCCGAGGGTTCGCAACACAGAGGTCGTACAAACCCCGTGTTCTTGAAAAAAAGAAACATTTGTACGCATGTCGGACAGTTGCCCACTGATGATTTTGTGATGATTTTATACAATAAAAACGAAAATCAGGCAAACTATATATTTTACTTCCTTATAATTGTTCTTAAACTAGGGCACTTTTTTATCGTGTTTTCATGCGACTAATTACTTTCCCTGTTTCTCCAGCTGCATTATGATGATACATGATATGACAGTAGCCGACTATCCCTCATCTTTTTCCCTTTATCCCAATGCATGACATTCACCTACCACAGAGTACTTGATATTCCTCGAGGTAATTGGGAATAAACCCTCTCATTCCCGCTAATAAATTCACACACCAGGCTTCATACACACTACACCAGGGTACTCGATATTCTTCTGAACTGTCCTATTGTAGTATATCTCTTTGCTCTCTCTTTGTTTCTCTCTCACTCTCTCTCTCTCTCTCTCTCTCTCTCTCTCTCACTCTCCCTCCCACCCTCTTTCACTCCCACCATCTCCCTCCTTCTGCTTTAGTATTTCTCTCTCTCCTCGTCCGCGACACTTAATTTATTAAATGCCTTCCTCTATGATAGGAATTACTTTACTATACTTACTGAAAATTATGGTTTCAAACATAATGAATTTATGAGTTGATAGTGAACCCATTCTGATCTTAGTATAGTAGTATAATATTATATAACAAATTATATAATATATTAGTGTAATTCACTTATTCTCTAATGGAATCGTAACTTCCATCTGGCTATCCAAAAGTTACCAAGGGACAAGCTTAATAATCGAGTTGGCAAGGTCGCCATTGAGTGATTCTCAGCCTTCGCGTAATTTTATTATGTTTTTTATTGTTATTATTTTACGTTCTATTAATGTTGTAATTGATCTAAGGAGATCCATTAGAAATGCATTTCCACACCCTTCAGCTCAGACTAAAATTGCCGTCTTAATCACCTTTCTTGAAGAAGAGGCCCGTTTCGACAATAATGCACGAAAATCATTTTAATTGCCGGTTTAACTCTCGCCCTCTTTGATGTGAAGTTAAACCGGCCGGACGGTGGAAAATTAGGGAAACGCCTTTTAAACCGCAACCTGGACGAAACGGCAATTATTTAAACCCTTCCGGCCCTCGGCAATGCCTTTTCATCCCCGTCCACAAAAGCCAAACGGGAAACTCCTCACTAGGATACCTTATCTTTTTCACTTGCAATATTTTCCCTGGTCGCGTTGGAAATTTACGATCCTCCTTCTTGACAGTTCCCGGCCAAAAGGTTTATTATCTGTATACGGACGTAATCCAGGCTTGCGTCAACGGATTTGCCTATAATAGGCCGATTTATTACTCACTTCAATTCTCTCCTTCACCTTCCACATATTGTTGCCAACTTTTTTTTAATACTATATGATTGTACTCTGATCTTTTTACTTTTTAGGCAGTTATAATCAAATATGCTTTAATTTGAGCATAAAAAATTACACAAGTGACAAAATGTAATCAATATAATATTTAAATGTTGATATTTTTTTTTTTAAATCAATTCGTAACATATTTATGTAATAAAATTGTCCAAAAATGGAAACCAATAAAGAAAAGGAATATGTAATAGTTATTATTATACTACATCTTAGAAGAATTGTGTTTAAACACGTGTTATATCTGGCATATTGTTATTATGGCAAGAGTTAAATGATCAATAGCAATTTTAAACAATAGATAGATAATTAATAGATTGTGTAGATAAAAATTAATTTATCCTAGAGATTTCAACGGGTTTCAGGATGTATTTATAATTACATCTGTGTTAAATATTAAGTTAAAGGTGGCCATTCACGATCACTCCAAATGGAACCGCGCCAAGCCGTACAGCTCCATTAGGAGTGCCTAAAATTTGAGGGGCATTCACGACCGCTCCACAGCCAGTCGCTCCGAACGTCAACCAGTGAATTACCTTCTCAAAATGGATGACGATCTCTTGTGCTACTCTTCTGTTTATTTACATATTAAAAGCAAAAAATCGAAGAGAAAATGGTGTAAGAAGTGGCTCCTGAACAGAAGCCGTAATACCCATATCAATTTGATGAAAGAACTTTCCCTTGAACCCGCTGATTGGAGGAACTATTTAAGGATGAAACGTCTTATTTATTCATTACATTTAGTGTTCTATTGACCAAATTACTTCTTTCAATTATTTAATCTTTTTTGTAAGGTTTTGGTTGAAATGAAAAAGCTAGTGCCACGAGCGGGATCTGAATCCATGGCCTTCGGCTAAATACGCCCCTGCTCTACCACTTAAACTATCGTGACTTCAATCCTCCGACACCAAAAAATGGCAAAAAGAGAGAAAATTCGAAAGGTTGTAGGTTGAGATGGGGAGTTGGTGCCCCAGTGGATCGAAGTATCGAAGTCAGGATAGCTCAAGTGGTTAGCGCAGCGGCGTATTTAGCCGAATGTCGTGGATTCGAATCCCCTCGTGACACTATTTTTCATTTCAACTAAAACCTTACAAAAAAAGATTAACGTCTTATTTATATTTACTCCAGCTTGTTACCCCCTTGATTAGAAAACAAAAGACAGTCATGAGAGAATCATCACTATATGAAAGGTTGGCAACCACATTACGATTTCTCGCTACAGGGATGAACTATAAAGAACTTAAGTTCTCTACTACGATTTCTGATCATTGTTAGGGGTTATCAATACCGCATCTCATTGCATTTGTATCCTTTGTTTTGAAAACGTCGACCAACTGGTTGAGGATCGAATTTCTTTTATTTCTATCGTGGTAATATAATCATTGTCCACCACTTTCATAAACATGGTACACTTTCATACAATTCAATCACCTCAAGAATAAAATCTCGATTGGATGTCATTACCAATAAAGAATAAACGTTTTTGACTTTTGGAGAATGTACGACGGAGATGTTTGCTCAGTGACAGAAAGACGGAGACTGCGCCAAAAAAAAGAGGGTTTTCCCATTCACGACCAAGCCACCGCGCCAAAATCCCGACCCTCCACGCCAGATTTTCCCATTCACGAACGCGCCATGCCGTCGTCGCGCCGTAGATATTTGGAGTGGCGCGATGGAGTTTGGACCGGTCGAATATTCGGCACAGTCGGGCACGCCAGTTCAGTTTTGCCATTGACGTGGTTTTTGGAACGGCATCGCTCCGTTTAAACTGCTTGGAGCGATCGTGAATGGCCACACAAATGCAAGAATGGCACAATTACACAGAAGACAAACACTTTGAGCCCTGAAGATGATCTCAATAAAAATCGAAACGTTGGCACGATAAAGAAAATGTTTTTCTGAAATCTACATCACACCAGACCGCATCGCACGATTTCTGAATAAGTAATATTTAAATTTATACACAATATTTAGTTATAGTAGACATTGTAGAACTTGGTTGAGACGAATACACAATATTTAACTTTTAATTCATAAAGCATACATCTGGCTTGCAATTTATAAAACAATGTTTCTCACATTCATTTGTACGAAGGTTCTTCTCGGACGTGAACTTTTAATATAACCCTGTCGATATTTGACCTGTTGGATATACTAAAAACGTTAATTTATACTCGTATTTTGAGATAATTTTTTGACATTTAATGAAATATTGTATTTTTTAACCTAAATTGTATTTTGTTTCAGATTGCCCAGACATGTATGCTGCAAAACTAGTCTTGCTGTTTTTCTTCGCTGTCCTCGGAAACGCCAAGGCTAAAGGTTAGTACTTTTTACGTGTTTATTTCCTTCGGTTTTCTTCTTTTTCCGTAGTTTCACGATGAGAAAATTCTAAAACAAATTTCGAGTATGCCGCATATGTGTGAAATATCTTTGAAGTTAATTACAAAACTAAGATTGAGTTTTAAAATACATACGTACGGAACAACCTTTACTTTTTCATTTTAATGATTCTCTCTTATATCTCCTCCTTAGAGGATACTCAATATTGCAAACATTGTTCGTACTATTTGTGCTGTTTGTTTGAAGTATTGGAAAAAGCAGGTAGAATTTTGTACAATGAACGTTATTCATTCATAAAAGGTGTGAATCTCACTGTTATCCCAACTCATTAACTCCGTCCGTGAGCGCTGTGTAAACATTGAAATTGCAAACAGGTAAAAAGACGTTTTAATCAATGAAACATTCATCTGTCTGTTCGCAAGTTTTGCTATTTCTACACTTTTGATACGTTTCACGTATTGGTCTCGAGTAATACACTAACTTTTTCATTTCAACCAAGACCTTACGTAAAAAGAACAATTAATTAAAAGAAATAATTATAATTTAGTACAATTCTCCATACAATCCAACGATCTATCTTAATATCCTACATGAATACACTTGTTGCTTGAGTTGACACTATTTCCTCCGTTCTAGAGAACAGAAAGTGCGTCCCTGGTTGGAGTGTAGGCTTTCGATAGGGCATGGCACCTAGGCATCCAATATAACTCCTTTTACCTACTTATTCCTTACACTTCAACCCAGTGTAACTGACTGAGAGTACTGCAGCCAATCCTTGGAAATCTGACCAATACGGTTAGCTTCATGTGGAGGTCCCGTCTTCCTTGTCTTTCAAACACGGAACTTATCTGACTTAGCTATACATCCCACTTTTCGTGTAGTACATACATTATAACCTACACGAACTTTGCAACCCGAATCCTACGCAAAAAATAAGAAACAAAAAAAATCCTACATTGTACATAAACTAAAGGTCGAGAGATCATGACATCATCAACTGACATCCAGTCATCTTAAGACTTGAATTTCCTCTAACCTGGCCTAGCAGGCAGACGAGAAATCGTTACAGAAAACAAAAAGAAACAAAACTTCCTATTCAACTGCGAAGCCCTCTTGGCATATGACTGTGCAATATCATCTAACTTGGTACAAAGTTTACTTCTTTGGATATGGGTACAAAGGAACTGCAGAATTGCACCAAACAATCCAATAATCAGCGTATTCTGTTAATAAAAAGTCTTCAGACAATTTTTGCAAACCCCTTACTTTTAAATATTCATTATCGGCAATGCCAATATCAATTCAGTCAGTATTCGAGTCAATATTCCTTTTTCGTCAACGATTCCACTTCTAAGTCCCACAAAAAGCTTTCAATCCATTCTGACCTTATTTCCTAAGCCTTGTTGAGACTTTCTCAACATGAGAACAAACAAAAAATTGTGTAATTACTATTATATATACTGACCTGCGCATACTATTTTCTCAACAATATAAAGCCAGCCCTACTGAAGGCTGTGCTATGATTCCTCCTAAAAAGGGATTTTTTTCTTTTTATTGGATATTACAACTACCTGCATTTTGGTATCTAGTAATACTACCAAAATCCAGGTAGTTGTAATATACAATAAAAAGGAAAAAAAATCCCTTTTTAGGAGGGATCATAGCACAGCCTTCAGTAGGCCTGGCTTTATACTGTTGAGAAAGAGTATGCTCAGGTCAGTATAGATAATAGTAATTACACACCTAAAAAGGGAAAAGTTACGGAATCAGTGACAAAGTATCAAGTCAAAAACTAATACCAGAACAGAAATAGACAAATACTTTTTTTTAAAAGTCTCACCTAAACCTGCTTCATAAAAGCCGGAATCGTAGGGGGCCTGTTAACTGGACTTTGTTGACTCACAATCAGTAACCATTTCAAAATATTGAGGTTGGCAAAAGATAGGTACTTAGCCAATGTTATTTTATGAAGGGTGCTATCAAATAGCGAGAAAAAAACCGCAGTACATATTATGTAAGGGCAATTTGTCAATTACCTAATGGATAATTCCACATAGTTTATGCGATCTGACCTATTGAACATATCTACTTAATTTTTCCTCTGACATTAGATGGGCCAAGTTTTCTTCTTCTGCTTGTCGATCGGTAAACCAAAATATGAATCAGAACTATTTTTAGGGAAAACAGTCTCATTTTAATAAAACGTTAAGATTTACTTGAGCAAATCTATTAACCACTTTTGTTCTTTTGATTGTCATCATTTTCGCGAAAGTTCTGATGTAAAACATCTCATAATTCTTTTTTGTCTGAAAAATGAAAATCTTCTTTTTCATTAGAGCCGATTCAATCCTTGAGAGGGAGGGTTTTAAGCGATTTAATACGAACCGAGGGAAAAGTCAACAAGTGGCCTTATTACACTTTCACTCCGAAACCCTCTACATTATTCATGTCGTAGGCCTTCCGTACGACTGGAATTCGGCCTGCGACATCTGGGCAAACGTGTTGGCCACTACGGCCGTTTTGGTGTTTCCTTTTCTAATAAGATTTTCAGGTGCGAAACGCCTGGTAGGTTAAATGTTTCCAGACACGTCGGATATTGTTGGCTCGCTGTCATCTAGACTCTCGGATTTATAGCAATTTAAAAATAAACTCAGAATATAGATATAATTTGAATACATTCCCAGAAACAATGTTCACTTTACAAACCAGGATTTGCCTATTCAAGAAAACTTGTACTACGTTAGTTGGTTTTGCAGTCATAACAGCTGTCAGTTCAAGAGATCTTCGTAGTTGTTCGCTTTAGGAAGCGGAATTCAATTTTTTGACAGGTAGTATGCTTAGTCACGTTAGTTGGATAATTTAACTGACGATTTTTCATTGGATGGCTTAGGTTCTCCATAGTTCCACTCCTTATTTCTAAGTGAAGTTTTTCGTATACATATATTCAATGCGCAAAGGGTTTTAACTGTTTGGGGTGAATCCCAAGTTGGAGCGTAACTTTAGTAAGCGAGTTTCAAGTCTTCCCACTAAAGGAGTGTACAGGTCATAGTTGATCGTAAAGTGAATGGCTTACTAACAAAATTGGACAGTCCATCTGCACTCCTTCAAAAGTTTTTTTTTTCATACGGCGAAAGGCGACGGGCGTTCAAAAACTCACCGCTTCCTCATTAGCCGTCCCACCGAATCCACAAGGGAAAAATTCAATGGTCTTGGTGAAGGGGGTTATGGCACAATAAATGGACAGCCCTCACACGAGCAGCCGACAAAAAAAGAAAACCTTTCAAAATCTCACTTTCCGTATTTTTTTTTTTTTTCATCGGGTTGTAGATCTGTGAAATTCTGACGGCAACTTCTGAGAGACCTTTGAATTTAATGATTGAACGTAGAGGGGCGTCGGTGGCCGCAACGGTTTAGGCGTTGACACGGCGCTCATCACTGTAAGCTAAAGGTCCCGGGTTCGAATCCAGCGGCCCTGCATTCGAACCCGACATACGTACAAATGGTTTTTTTATTCAAAAACACCGGCACCCTGAGGGTTTATATGACCTCTGCTGTTGCGAACCCTCGTAAAAGGAAAAAAAAGGATTGGATGCATTGGATATTTTATGGAATAGTAGAACTCCACAATGTTTCTCTTAATTTCCGTTGAATGATTTTTTTTAAAGATACAACCAGATTTAAGAGCTAGATATCTATTTGGATGTTTGAGTCTTTTGTAAATCTATGTAAATCGTATGTACAAGTCGCAGTATGAACAATTAAGGATTTGAGAGTCAATCAACTTACTATCGCACACAAGGCTAAAACGATACGAACTAAACAGACGATACAAACTGTTACCACCACTACTCGACAGACGATCAAAAACTTCCACTTAATTACAAAAGATTAATATACATTATGGTTCTGAAACCTATATGGACTTATGGTATTCATATTCCGCTCCCAACGCATCCAAAGATTCCAATCAAAAGCCCTAAGAAAAATTGTTAACCCTCGTTATTATGTATCAAACCTCACCCTATAGCGAGACCTAAATATTTTATTACAGAAGTAGCGATAAGCAATTACAAAAAATTCCATCAATCCTTAACCGCCCATCCCAATGCCTTGGACCGTCAGCTCAGTGCCACTACCATCCCAAATAATCCTCCCCGACAGACGTCGATGGCCACGTGACGCACTAAGTGACGAAGAAATGTGAAAAGTGGTCTTTTTTAAAAGCTAAGTGGCTCACCAGTGGGTGATTTTTCCTCACATTTTATTCTTTATAACATATTTACGGTAGTAATGGTTTTAAAGATAAAAATCAATAAAAAAGAAAAATGAATAATTTTTTCAAACGTAAAAGTATAAAAAAGATACATGTTAAAAATAAATAATCAGTTTATAAATATTTGTTCTAGATGTCGATAAACAAGAAATTGGTCGTTTACTTCTGACAGGGCAATCCGTTGTGTGGTAGGCTCTAAACACAAGTTGACCAAGACGCAATCCAGGGATTAGAAAGCATTTGAATACGATAATACGTTGTAAATTGTCCGTAAGACTCAAAACGACCGGGATTATATTGTTGGATATAAAGCGATGATTGATGAATTGTCTTCTTTAAAAAAAAACAACTCTCGGACTAAATCTCTTGAAGACATTGGCATTTCTACAACATGTAGAAGGGTTTTTATTGTTGTTCGTGATAAAATTCAGTCGTTTGATTATAACAGCTTCAGTCGTTTACTGACAAAAAGGAAAAACGAAATAGATGGAAAAATGTTGAATCCTACCAGTTTTTCAAACCCCCTCTTGAAATTACTAATCAAAAATTTCTCAAACAAAAAAAAGTAAAAATATTAACTCTTAGATATAATTTTTCTAGAATTTTGATCAATCAAAAAACAACGATTTGCCTTCTTTCTTAAATAATATAAACCTGCATATTTCCGTTATAGAGTTGTTAAATGTCTCGATTGTTTATCATAAAG